TTCAATTTGAATTGGTTATTATGACATCATTATGTTCAGAGAATAAATACAAAATGCTTTTCCTATTTTTTTGTGATTGATACGGTTGCTCGATTAAATGACACCAAACAAATAGGAAACACACAATGTCATTAGGTCACTCAAGAATTAATGTGCAAAACGGAGGATAAAAAAAGAGGGAACGGGTGAAAAGGGTTTCGGCTCAACACCTTGGCATGCTATCCCAAATATAAAACTAATACAAGTCCCTGCACGCTCAAAACGTCCCAAAGGTCTCACTGCACAAGGACGCAGAGCCGCTTTTTGAGCCTTTCTGTTGTTTCAGTCTGCAATGGAAAACAGTTTTCTTGTAAAACTTGCTTCATTTGAGCTTGGAAATCCAGAGTCAGGGCTTAGAAAGTTTCAAAGGAAGTTCTGATAGTCTGCAACATATGCATTGTGAATCATGTTGAACATTGGTTGCAAAAGGCTGCAAGACATTTCAACCCATCACATTACATATGCAGCTATGGTCCTCTTCCACATGGAATTATAAATTGACCATTAGCAAGTTTGCATCTAACTTGTCAGGATAGTCAACTGGTACATAATTGACATTTCCCAATCAGCAGCAGCTCACTCAAATTTGTTTGGTGTAAACAATGGTCATATTTTTTTATGCTTAAAGAGCAAAGAAAGCAAAACAGGAAATTAAACCGTAATATAACAAAATTGAGTGTAAAAATAAATCTTGTTACTTTAGTAACAAGATCCGAGCGTTTTTGAAATTATTTAATACACTCGTGTGTTCCTGTAGAAGAGTAGCAGGAGTTATGTCACCAATGAAAAGTTAAATATATTTCTACAAATGTTTAACCATGGCCAAGTACTAAACTAAAGAAATACATATTTTTTCTCTGTACAACATTTAAATCTACTCCGAATATCTTTTGACATGTCGGAAGAATGTTTAATTGTAAATAATAAATCTGTTATATTCTTTCTTTAACTCCGTCCCACTTGAAAGCTAAAACAAAAATGGGTAAAAAATCTATGTATTTTCTTTCTTTGCTCGTCAAAATCAGTGGAAATGATGGGGAGGGAGAAATGGTCGGGCAGGTTCGCTGAAAGAGCATTCCCAGGTGTGACCACAGCATTCCCTCCATACACTTTAACAGACCACTTTGTGTGTGTGTATAAGTCTGAGGTTTTCAGCCTGCAGCCAAACTGGAGCTAAACTCAGCTCCAGCAGCCAGTAACAACAGTTTTACGGGCTCAAGACATGCACACACACACACACACACACACACACACACAAACTCAACTTTGATTAAACACATTTGCACTCTATGAAGTGACACGAGAGAGGGAAAATTATTTTCATTTCAGAATGCTTTTGAAATGTAGGGAAGAAGTACTTTGATTGGATCACCGTGTCCGTCATGTAGTGCAACCCTTTGGGCACCTCGCTGCAAGTCATACCCTTTGATTTGCATTTAAAAACACGAGTGAGTGTGATGTAAATGTTACAATGCAAGGGCATTATCACCGTTTGTCATTTCCCCCCACTTCATTCTTGATTTCCTTCAATTTGCAGAGAAGAAAGAGAGCTGACTTGATACCAGGATGTCTTTGAGTATAGCCAGGTGGGTTTGTTCATTTCATGATGCGAACTGCTGTTGTAGTTTGCGTGTGTGCGCGCGTGTGTGTGTGTGTGTGTGTGTGTGTGTGTGTGTGTGTGTGGATAAGCATGCATGTGTAACACTACCCTCTACTCAACACAGCAGTTGGTAGGTGGAGGAGACCAAGTTACCGAAGCTCCGTTGGGACTTCCACCTTGTGGACGGTGCTGTCTATGGCACTGCATGAAGATATAGTACAATAAAAGGTGGTTTTCGGCCCGGGGTCTTTCTCCAGATACTCCGTCTTCCTCCCACAGACCAAAAACATGGCTATTAGCTTAATTGGTTTCTCTAAATGCTCCCTAAGAGTGAGTGTGTGTGCATGGTTGTTGTCCTGTCTGTCACTGTGTCTCTGAGTTGCCCAGTCTGGCGACCTAATAGGCACCAGCGCCGCTCACGACCCCATTAGGGACAAGGGTATTAGAAAATGGATGGATGTGTATATAGGGTGCTTGTTATTAAGTTTGAGACCTACTAGAATTTTTAGCTAAATTCAACAATTCAAAAGACACACTTCATTCCAACGGGACTGAAAGCACACGATCACGCCAAAGCCACTGTGAAATTGATGCTTAGCACAATTTTAAGGCTGTGTAATTATTATGTTTATATTAACAATGGATCAAATGACTTAGTAATGTGGAACTTTTTGTTCATGGGTGATGAATCTCTGAAGACATATTAACCAGCTCTCGTTTCCTTCAGCTATTTTGGAACATCTCAACGTCTTTAAACTGATTTGGTTTTATTGCCTGCCACATTACCGTTGATTCAACATCATTACACCCATCAACCCCATTTTCCAACAGTATGGTCACAACTCTTTGTGAAAAAGTTGAGATGCTTGATGTAATAACACAGTTTCAACGTGAAGTAGTGGTTTGCTTCGTTCCTCGCTGCAAGAAAGCTTCCTGTTTAAATTTATTTCAGTCTTGTTATTATGCCTGTTGAAATGTGGGTTCTCTGGTTAGTCCAGTTTCCATCCACAATATAAAAACAGGTGATTATTATAATGACCAGAGGACTAGAGGTGTTAATGGTTGCTTAGCTTGTGTTCCTCTCTATTGAACCTGACCAGAGTGCACCCTGAACCTCCTATGCATGGGCAACATTTTTGTTTATTATTTCTCAATCAAAAGTAAAACTTAGTCACTTGCAAATTGTTATGATAATGAATATTTTCTGTCAACATAAAAGTCAGAGTGTTCATGGAAGTGTCTACCACTGGTAAGATATTGACTTCTCATAGCTTCTTCTCTGAACCCCATGTAATAAAAAATAGCATACAAAAAGAAAACTATATGTCTACATAATTCTTGTATGGTAATTTATAACAGGTCATGAAAAGTTGAGAACCATTTTAACATATGGGACTGGTTAAGCAATTTTGCACAGAAACTAACAAGACGTTCTCACCTATTATTCATCATATTCTTTTGAGATTATGTCATGCACTGACAAGATATGAGCAGAAATGACTTTTGAATATACAAATAATCCTTGTTCACATTCATTCTATTATTAAATCTAGCTCTCTGTCTCCCCTCCGATCATTGGTTACATTCAGCCAACACTTGTTATTTGAATGAGAGGAGTGGACCACCCCGGGGAGGAATAGGAAGGGGATCACGTTACGCCCAAAAATGTGGAGGGCCTACAAAAGAGCCAGGAGACCTCGTGGTGAAGCAGAACGGGCAGCAAAGAGATGGGGAGAAATAGGAGAGCACATGAAAGAGTGCATTACAGACGGGGAGGGAGAGATTGATTGGGATGGCGAAATGAGGGGAAGTTGGAAGTGAGAAACTGTATCAGGTAAACATTATGGATGGATGGATGGATGGATGGATGGATGGATGGATGGATGGATGGATGGATGGATGGATGGATGGATGGATGGATGGATGGATGGATGGATGGATGGATGGATGGATGGATGGACAGACAATATTATTAGTTGATGGGTTTTTCATTAATTCATAGAATAACAGTTTTTGTATTTTCCAACTCTTAAAGCTTTGAATTTGCAATATTCAAAGAGTTCCAGACTTATCTATGTAGCTGCTTATAAGTCTCATTTTCTTTCACATTTTATGTGAATGGAACAAGAGCCACTGCAAGGCCAACACAGAAACACGTATGACAATCACATAAATTTACATGTCCAGCCAAAAAAAAAAAGTGCATTCATCAGTCATCCTGTTCTATGCTGTTCTTTCCCACAGTTCAAAGTTAGGTAACAAATGGCCTTGTTACTGAATTTATTTTATTTTATTTTTTATAATAATTTAAACAAATAAATTTTAAATATTATCAGAAGTAGTTACTTTGGAGTGTATTGCCCCACAGTTCTCTCAGAAAAATAAAAAAACAAAAACTTTTGTTAAAGCGAGACCATTTCAAAATGCTCAGTTCAGTTTGTTTCCCCCAAATAATCGTAACCTTCTTACAACTATTTTTTTTTCATACTGAATAGCAGCTAGAACTTAAACCACACATTGTAGAAAATCTTGTAATATTTTGTAAAATGTACTGACACACTTGTCTTGATCTAAAATGAGATTTCCTTCTGGTATCTGGTATCATTTTCTGATAGTGTATGTTTTTTGTCTTTCATCTTTTATTGAAATGGCAATATTTACATATAAAGATGGTAGATGATCTATATTCCGGGGGTCTGTGTAACTTGTCAGAGATAAATTTGAGTTCTCTAAAAACTGAGATCAAAAACATTGTCCATTGTAAAAACATTGTACAAGTTTCTGGTTTCCACAATGTGTTGATAAAACATATCAGTATTCTGTAAACTTGATGTAGACCTTTAAAATCACAAGTTACTGAGCGTTTACTTCTCCAATATGATTCAAAATTAAAAGAGGGAAGCTTATGCACTAAATACTTTCTGATAATCAGAACTATACTAACTTGAGTAAAGGCTTTTCTTTCCTCTGCAATAAGAGCAGCTGTGATTTAGGGCTTTGTGAATCATCGAGACGCACGCTTCCTATTGCCTTCATTGACATTTAATGATAATTATAACTTGGGTCATGTCAGGGATAAACACACACACATACACTGCCTGGTTAAAAATGTGAAGACATTAGCTGTAACTTAATGCTGAGCCAGTATTGATCTACTCCCAGGGGCCTTCAAGAGTGAGGGAACACCAGACAGCACTTTATCACAGCACTTGAACACAGAGGGCGAGCATTTCAAGTGTGCATGCGTATACGTGCGTGTGCATGTGTGTGTGCATTTTGGTCAATGGTTAATTGACCATTAAGAAGAATTTCAAGGCCAAAACATAGCCTTTACCGATCAAATGTGCAAACAACAATGATAATCAATCAATCAAATTTTATTTGTATGGCATTTCAAAGTTTACATCACAGAAACACAAAAATACAAAGTCATAGAACACACAGTCAACACTTTACCGTCATTACACCTGTTTATTGATTAATGTTTTATTGATTGTGCTTCAAACGTAACTCTAAGCAAGTGGGTTTTTAGTCTAGATTTAAAGAAAGTCAATGTTTCTGGAAATTTGCTCCATATTTCTGGTGCATATAAGCTGAAAGCTGCTTTTCTGTGTTTGTTTCTGGGGATGCAGAGTAGACCAGAACCAAAAGACCTGAGGGGTCTATGAGGCTGATACAACAACAGCGTTCGCACTGAATTACATTAAAGATCGATTATGACTGTATCAACCTTCCACAACTCTACTCAGCATCTCCAGAACCAGAACCAAACATTGAGAAGCAGCATTCGGTTTCTAAATTTTGTGAGTTTGCCTTCATGAATATGCAAACCATATGCCTTGAGGAGAATGTGCAAATGTAAAATAAAAATAATTGAAAACAAAACAAGCAAACAAAATAACCTCCAACAATGCCTATCTTGAGCTGCAGGATTTTCGAGCAACTTGCACTCACAGAGTGGCCAAAAAAGAAAAATGAAGTCGAAAGTTAAAGACCTTCCAGTCTCAAAGACTAGGAGTTCATTATCAAAGACAAAATGTATGTGGAAAAATGCAAAAGCTGTCAGCAATTAGGATGAGATTATGATTGCTTCAATGCTAATAAAGATTTGTCTTATGTTTCTTCAGAAAGGAATATGTAATTTTTGAGGTGACATTTTTATTCAAATGTGAAGAAAAATAGCATTTTTTTTCAGAGTTGAAATTGTTTTGAACTTTTTTAGAAAAGTCTCATGTAATTAAAAATAAAGTCTTTTTAAATTAAATCTGTAAAAGATAATTTTGGTATAGACTGTGGCCCCAGACAAGATTAGAAAAACTTCACAAAGCTGCAGAAATTATACATGCGGCCAGTTATATGGGAGATTGTAGAGATATTGTAGGTATTTACACTAGTAAGTGTTGATTTTTTACAATGTATTTTACTTGCAGATCATATTTTCTAAAGCATAGCAAACTGTAACTTCAGACGGTTTCCTGACTGACTGAAGCTTTCTGTCCTGCTTTCTGCAACTGTGCATCCCTGCTGGATAATAAAGCAAAGTAGATATGGATAAAAATTAAGACGATTTTTTGCAAGTTTGCAATTTATCAGGAACTGCAAACTGCAAAAGAAGATTTAAAAGTGTGGTCAAACATCTATGCCACAACAAAAATCAATTTCAAATGCTCATTCTGCTATTTTAGCACCTTCAAGATTGGAAGGACCTGTAACTGAGATATGCATGGGTTCTCCTCATGCTCACGCTTGTATCAGACGGTAAAATTTTTACACTGCCACGAAAGTATGGAAAGACTGTTTCTGTGAAACTGCATTTGATGGCATGAATTGTTTTTTTTCTATCAAGATCAAAAAATGAAATTATTCCTTGGCTATAATTTAACTGCACTCTGACTTTCTGAGGTAGAACTTCTACTTTTATTTCAGAGAAATCATCCTTTTTGGTAAGGTTACGTAGAAGACCGGTACAAACACAAATGTACATGGCCCATGTGTCCTTTGCAGTTTTGTCAGCCACACCCACAGCCCAGAAATCACCCACCTCTACCTCTACATCCCAGCTGTGTCTACCAGAGTTAAAACCTTGATAGCCAAGAAGTTCTGGAGAAGACATCCTCTCAGGGTTGGAGTAATATGGCTGATTCTTATCACTTTTTGTTGAACTGGTTAAGTTCTCTGATACAGTCAGATAATTACAGCAAGTGTTAGGATCCAAAAACACAGGAGCTATAAGGGGAAGAGAAAAAAAATGCTAAGTACATAAACTTTTATTTGTTAAAATACAAAATCTGATGGTTAGACAAACAAAACTTAGTGAAGAGGAAACAAAAAAATTCTTACTGTATTTTACTATTTCAGCCATATTTTTTAAGACTGAAAACTGAAGGTTTCCAACATGCTGACCCACATCAATCAGACATCCTTCTGGGGTCTCTGGTTGTTGCAGCTTACACAACGATCTGAAAACAAGAAAACATTTCTAATTATAACTACCTGAAGTTTACCTGCATTTTCACTTGTAAAATTTCATAATTTCAATAATGTCACCAATTGTTCTTTTTCATTTGGGCCTTTAAAACAACAGCACATGACTTTGTATTTATGTCTGTCTGATGACATAATTTTAAAATACTACATCAGATGCTATATCCAACTTGAGTAGTTTTACCACCAAATATTTTTGTACTCTTGCTTGAGTAATTTCTTGGAAGACGATTTCTTACTTTTAATTGATTAATATGCTGAGGTGGTTCTATTTATACTTGGAGTACAATTTTTGACAAACATACCCTCCTCTGGCTGATTCCAACATAACAAGTTTGGAAAACCTACCTTTCCAGTGTTGATTTTGCATTCTATCATAGAAATAGAAAAAAAACAACAAAACAAATTGACATAAGTTTCTATTCTGCTTTGTTTTCCGGTTTTGACATATTTCATTTAGTAATTACCAGGACGAATAAGAGGTCTTCTGCTCTCATCTGATATTCTATGGTTTTGATTTTTTCCATGAGCTCAGAAATCTCTGCAGTTAGGTTTATAATCCTGATATTCATTGCGTCACTCTTAAGTTTTGCTTCTCTCCGACACGCATCTATCCGGCCTGCCTCCTCTTTTCTCAGGAAGTGATAAAGTTTCTGGAACTCGCCTCTGATGGTTTGCTCTGTCTGCTGAGCCTGTAGCTGAGAGGAGCACAAATGGCAGCAAAATAAGTTTTGAGAAGTCCTTTTAATGTGTGCGCATGTCACACTTACGGCTTACCTTGATGAGGGTGGCCATGTTCTCCCATTGTTTTTTTTGGTTCTCAAAATCTCCCTGCTTAGTTTTCAGGCTGTTAAGATTTGTCTGGATTTTAATCTGTAAAAAATCATTTGTAAATTTAAAGTTGCAAAACTGCTTCTTGCGCTTTTGCAACAGGAAGAAAATTAAAATGTTAAATCTTTTACTTCAGAACCACATGCTACTTACACGGTACTCCTCTGCTGCTTCATTAATGGGAACACATTTGTGTTTTGTGTGTGTTTTCGAATCCCGACAAATCACACAGATGGGTTGTTGATGGACCTGACAGAAGAGTTTGAACTTTTCACCATGCAATAAGCAAATCTCCTTGGATCCAGCTCTCTTTCTCCTCTCCTGCTTCAATGAGTCAGACAGGTTTCTCAGGGCCAGATTCCGAGGCGGCTGAGTCATATGAAACATTTCCTTACAGACCGGGCATGTCCTCAGTGAGCTCTGTCTCCACCACTCCTGTAAGCAATGCTGGCAGAAGCTGTGGCCACACAGCAACAGAACGGGATCAGTAAATATGTCGCAGCACACTGGACATGTGCACTCTGCCTCAGATTGTGGGATGTTTGAAGCCATCTTGTTGACCTTTGCTCCTCTGCTTATTTTCCTTGACTGGTTTACTTCACTTCTACGCCTCACTTGTGTTTGACAGAAAAGGTTCTGAAAATCAAAAGCTTCTTTAAAAAAAAGAAAGTTCCCAAAAACAATAATAACTAATAACTATTGGATTCTCCTTCTTTTTCAATTTAAAAAATAAGAAAATCTAAAGATATGTTGACAGCCCTGCTTTATATACATCTGTCATCCAACGAGGAAGTCAGGAAGTGGGAGGAGCACTTTTTTTCTATTCAAAAGGTGCTTTAGTTAAAACAAGACCATGAACAATTACATTGCTGACATAAGAAAATAAAATACATAGCTCTGAAAATCAATGGGCATTCAGTGTTTAGCTAAAACCAAGTTAAAAGTTTTTCTTTTTTTTGTTTTTCTTTTTTTTGTTGTTGTTTTTGTTCATTACAAAATAATGTAATATTTTTTTCTTTTCACATCTGAGACAGTCAAGTCAGCAGCATTTCTTTTATGGAAGATCATAATGCCTGCTTATTTACTGTATCACATAAGAAAGGTAAAGTTTTGACCTCTATAATTATTGGATTTATTATGAAAACTAATGAATTCAGTCCAGTTCAAATTTTTTAGGAAAATAACATACCAAGTGCTGAACCTGTATGTTGGTTGTTAAGTCACTGAATCAAAATATGATTTCAGCTCAAAATAAGAAAAAATTAAACTTAAATGTTCAAATAAAGTGCTAAACTATTAAAAAAAATGGTGGAAAGGCTTAAATGTATTTGTCTTTGATTGTGTTGATTGAAGAGAAAGCTGCCCCACAGTTGTTTGTGGAGCCAGTTGATGTCAGGATCTGCAGGGAAACTTTGAAGACCTGGGAAATCTCTCAGTAGCCACTTTGAATCAAAAAGTGGCCATTATGAGACCATTTCTCTTGATAGTGTTTCACAGTGCAACTAACAATAAGTGCCTCCGTTCTGAAGAGGTGAAATACTCATGTTTGGCGCTATTAGTGGGATGTAAGAAATGACCTTGCCATTTCTGCATTAAAAGTATAATTTCTGATGAGCATTTTTCATTAATATGACACCACCATTTGTCAGTTCTTTTCCTTTTTTATGTCTGGTTTGTCAGTATCTCTCCTTTTTATCACTTCACTCATCCATATCCCTTTGTTATTGTCTCACTATCATGTATTTCTCATCTTCTTTGCTTTACAGTTGGTATCGCTCCTGCTTATTTTAATGCAAAGCAAGCATAACGTTTCTGCTTATCCATGGCCCATATATTCCCTGGATTAAATTAAAAATAGAAGTGTGCATAGACATTTAAAATAATACATAAAGTCGCTTCCACAGTAAATAGCGACTTTATGTAATGTGAGTTAAACATTACATAAAGTTTGAAAAATGCAACCAAACAGACCTTTTATCTTATTCCTTTGTCACATCTTCCAGCCAAATCTCTCTCAGAGGCACATTTTTCTCATAAAAGCACTCACATGCTGCATAAACTGGTTTCTCAGCAGTGAAATTTACAAGTGATTTGCCCCTTGACTTTTGTAGCAAAAGCTATCAAAGGCTAAATGTTTTAACATGGAAGCATATGGCCAGCCATATGTATGTGGAGTCTCTTTTGTTTTTCTAAAGCACACATTAAGCAGAGAAACTAAGTATTTAACCATGTTCTGATCGGCTTCGTTATGGCCCACGATGATCACTTGTTTTTCTGTAATATCTGTTAAAAATATCATTAGTGTTTAAGTGCTGGGGTTAACTGTCAGAGCTATAGGTTATCTGAATCTGTCACCAAGTGAGCTCGGTTACATAACTTTTCTCTTTTCTTTCCTCTTCCAGGCTGGTGTAATTATTACAACTGGGAATAGCAGAGCAGGAATAGTTGTTTCGTGTGACTGTTTCTATGCTTAAATGCTGAATCTATAACCATAAAACATTCGGTGAACATAAAGCCAAGATTTCTGAATTTGGCCCCTGCAGCCTCCCCAGAGTGCCGCAGTAAAACCGTCCCGAGCTGCCATTAGATGGAGCCGGCTGGGGGAAATATCGAGCAGGGATCGGGACCTGATCGTGAGCAGTGGCGCAGCTGATGGTAAACTAATTCTGATGTCCCGACTCACCCCTCCCCTTCCTCACACACAAACACGTCAGCTTGCACACCAGTGAAAAGTCTGCTAAAGCTTAAATGTGGGACATCACTCTCCTCTTTTTTTTTTTTTTCCTGCTTTCCACTTTTTCTCTCTAAGCTGCACTCACACTCACTTGATCAAAATCTCAATAAGTAAGACATCTGCTCCATCATATGCCTGGAGGGACAAAAGACTGGGAAGGAATTCAACAAAAAACTGTTACATTTCTCTGCAGGCCTTTAGAGAAACACATGAGAAAAAAATGCTGAAGACTGAGAGACTTTTTACACACAAAAAAAAATCATAAGTGAAATCTGAAAGGGTTTTTGTACACATTTGCTAAGCCAATCTATGCACATGGAACACCTTCATTTTTTAATCATCTTACAACCACAAACCTTTAATGGGATTTTATGTGAGAGACTAAAATGTAATAGAGGATAAACATGAAAGTGATAGATTTCAAGCTCACTATGAACAAAAATCTAAAGAATGCAGCAGGAATTTATTTGTCTTCAGGCACTTTTACATTGAAATCCCTGAAGTAAATTCATTCAGACCAATTAGGATCATAATCACCTAATTAGTAATGAGAGTCTGTGTGTAAAGTATAAATCCAGATGTTCGGGGAAGACTTTTGAGGTTTGTCCAGAACATAAAACAAGAAACAGCATCAGGAAGATGAAGATTGATAAGCTGACAGAGCAAGGAGAAAGTTATAGAGAAGTGTAAAACAATGTTTGATTCTTGAACAATATCTCCTACTTTCAACATTTCACAATGCACAGTTCATCATATGACACAACTGCAAGCCTCCCGAAATATAATCGCCCAATAAGCTGTCAGGTCGGATAATGACAGCATTAGTCAGAGAAGTAACCAAACAGAGCCGGAAGATCTGAAGAGATCAATAGCTCTGGTGGGAAAATCTACTAAAATGATAAATATTATTCATGCACTCGACAAATCTAGCTTTTTATGCAAGAGTGGTTGGAAGAGCCTTTGTGTTGAAAGAAGGTCTACAATAATCTCCATTTTCAGTATGAAGCCATTAATGTTTTTAGGATTCATTAAAAAAAAGCTTTCTCAAAAAGCTGTGTGGCTGAAAGCTCACTCTGAAAATCATCCTTAACTCAACCACAAAAGGTGCAATGTAAGTCAGTGGTCCAGTCAAAGTTCATGCCTCAATCCATCTGAGAATTATTGGCAAGATAAATGCTTTCCTTCCACTCCTACTGAGCTCAAGCTAAAGTATTTTGCAGAAAACGGATAACACTGCTGGCATTAAGAAGTGCAAAGTTAGCAGAGACATTTCCCAAACGACCTGAAGCTTTAATTGCAGCAGAAAGCAGTTCTGCAATGTCCTGACTCAAGATAAGTACAAGTACATTATAGTGAAAACAGTATGTTGGGTTCGGGCTGTGCATGATTTATTTGGGTTGTCCTCATTTCAGGGTGAAATGATCCAGCACCAGTTATTCTAGAAAGCAATTTTAATAGTAAAACATACTGGAAAATACACATTGAGGTTTGTGGTTGTAATGAGACAGAACATGAAAACACTAAATCAGGTTTGAATACTTGTCCCAGCGAGTGTCAAAAGCCAGTATGTAGAATATATTAAAGAATGAGAGATATTTTGTTCTCCAATCTGTTGAACCCCTCCCCAAAAAAGGGATCATGAAACAATTAACGAAGGACATGCAAGGCTTATGTAGTGTCAAGTTTTTGTTTCAAAGTTACCAGAGCAGCAGCAGCTTTGCAGCAGGTCATTAAAGGAATTTACGATGCGTTAAATTTCTCCTTTGTTCTTCTTTGTGGCCGCTTGCTCTGGCAGTTAGAGAGGCCAGAGCCCTGCAGAGAGCTCATTATCACCACAGCCTGTGATGTTTTACACATCACGCCTCCGTCCCATCAGCAAACATTAATGTGTTACCGTTGCTCCGGTTGCATTCTGTACTGTGGCACAATGTAGTCCACAACACTCCTGACTTTGTTTCTATGCCTCTCGAACCTGAAATAAACCCCCATCCGCCATAACATTTGGCGAACCAATTTGAGAAGGCAGGCACAGGAAGAGGCGAGGTATAGATTAGCGGTAGTAATGATCATAAATCACGTCTGAAATGCTGCCATGTCACATGCCACACCGCTCCACTAATGACCAGGCCCATCTTTCACCGGGTATTTTTATCTGTGTGCCCTGACACTCGACTTTTGGAATCGTCCTCTCGTTTTACGTCGTCAGCACCTCGACCAAGCCTGTGCACAAGTTCTTCACATATCTATAAATACCAGCCAGCTGAATGGCATTTTCTCCCACCCGCCTCCCTTCGCTTGGCAGGAACCTGGAGCTCTGTGACTTGGCATACGGATTTGCAGCTTTTATGCCACTGATCGTCTTGGGTCTAGGTTCGTCCAAACACACCCACATACACATCTCTGTGTGTGTCCACTGGAGAACAAAAAAAAAACACTAATCTATCTGTCAAAAATGTCAAATTCCAATCTGATTAAGGACATTCAATCGGTTTTCTTACAAGATGCAACAAACATGCTAGAGGTTTTTTTTTTCTTTTTTTTCTCAGAGCTGCACTTGCCGAATTAACTTGTTGCTGTGCTGATGTGGTCAAACCGTTCGTGTGTATCAGTTCTCATTGGCTCCTTCACACACTTTCACACACATCTGAAAGAAATGCACAACACCTGTACATGGCTCCTCTGTTCAAAATGTTCTGCCAAGTTTTTTAGGCTTGCTGACATGAGGCACTAGAGACCGCGGGTCACCGACAGCTTCCTGCTATTTTGGGCTTGTTGCAGCTTGAGGTTTCAATTTATTCGGCCAGAGTCTGTCAATCACTGAATGGCTGTTTTTGGGCCTGGAGGGGGTCTTCTGTTGCTACTGGGTGGGGGGAGAAGAGCATCACGCTGAACCTTATTCTCACTGGAGAAGAATCAGTACTAAAAAAAAAAAAATGGAACCTCTTCACAGTGAAGAAAGACAGGAGCCACAAAAAAAATCTTAAAATTAAATCTAAGACATAAATTTGCTTGGTTTGGGGTGACACAACCCATTTGACCTTCGGGTCAC